AAAATTAGATGTAAAAAGTGTTTTTGTGTTTTAGAATTTTTGGAAATTTTTGTACTAGGGATTTACGGGAAAGAGTTGTATCGTTTATTTGTTATATAAGTATTATGAAATTATAAGCAATCTTTAAAGGCAAGATTATTTTGGGTTTTATTTTTTATCACACTTTAAGCATACACATGACATAGAATTTAATATTTTGAACAGCTGTACTACATCTTGAAAGCACGATTTTCCTTTATGAACTCCTTGAAATCATTGAGTAATAGTAGGCAATTGTTGCAATTTACTATGTAAAATAGGCCTCTAATCTGAATATAGATCACTCAAATTCTATAATAAAAAATTTATCCCTCTAATCTGCATGACAAATTGTGTAACTATTAACAAATATTCTTTTTTTGTATATATATATAAACATACATTATATTTATCTTTTTATCTCATATCTTTACTTTTATTTAGTAAAAAAATCTTATAACAATTTCAAACTGGTATTTTTCAAGCTTTTGCTTTTTTTTTATTTCTATCTTAATATTATCGCCTATCTCTATACTTATCTTCTTTAGTTCTTATAGTGCTAAATATTCTCTTTAGCTTTAAATTTAGTAAATTAATTGGTATTAAAAAAAATAAAAAGCATTTAACAGATATATTTATAAAGTATAGTTTTTCATTTAAGTAAACCTGAATATTTTTAATAATACAATCTAGAATAAAAATATAATATATCCCTGACAACAATAATAATTTGTCTTCTTGCTACCTAGCAACAAAGTCATGATCTTGATAATAAAAAAGAAGCCAGTAATAAAGTACTTTCTATAAAAAATAATCCAATAATGAAAATAAGACCAGTAATTAGCTAACAAAGATTGTAATGAAAAAACATCTAGCAAATCATAGTAACAAAGCTATAAAAACAAATTATATTTGCTAAGGTATATATAAACTTTGTTTTATATATAAATGCCACAAAGAGAAAGCCTTGAACCAGAAATAATAATCTATTATTTATCAGTTTAAGGTTTTCTCTTAGCAGCACTTATATAATGATAGCTATAATTTTTTGTATACTGTTTTACTACCATACTTTATTTTCTATACTTATATTATTTTTTATTATTCCTATTCTTTATACTTTTAAAAAATAGATAGCATATAATGAAATCATATCTGATTTTGGAGTTAATATTGAATTTAGTAGTTCAATATATGATCCTAAGTCTAATAGATTTATATATAATTCTGAGCCAACATGCGATTTTGTAGTTACTACTAATAAAAATAAGGAGATTGGATTGGATAGTTCTAAGAAAAAACTGCGTGAAGAAATAATTTTTCTAAGTTGGGAAGAAATATTTGATACATTAAAGTTGTATTCTCAATATAAAGAGTTCAAATTAAAAAAGAACATAGTAAGAAAAACTCTGATAGAACTATACGAAAATAAACAATACTGGTAAATATAGTAGTGAGTATAAGTCTAAAAACACACAATTGACTAAAGAAACAAGCACAAAATATATCAAATATCTGTGACATGTAAATTTGTTACAACTAGTGAAAAACAATCCTAATAGAAACATTTATCTTACTACCTTAAATGATAATTATAATCATAAATTATCTTTCTATAGAACAAAATTCTTTAATAATAATAAACTTACTCAAAAATTGTATGAGCAGATAGAATTTTATGTAAATGCTATTAAGTTAAAGCTACTGCAAATCCAGAAGGCTTTACAAAAAGAATTTTCTGACCATTAAGTTTATATTTCTGAAATTCATAAAGCTATAGCAAAATATTATAGTGAAAAATGAAAGAATATATCAAATGATGTGGCATCATTATATAAAGAATTAGTAAGAAGAAAGGATGAAGACACCCACTGGTATGTTGCAATTAACTGGGACCAAGATTCTCATAATCTCCAAAAATTATTTTGGTTGTCTCCCGACCAGATAATTCTTTAGAAAGAATTTGGTGATAACATATTAAATAATAACACTGCAAAAACAAACTGATATAATATAGCTCTTTTACTATTCATATGTATTGATAATTATAGATCTTCTCGTCTAGTTGCATGTGCTCTTATGGGTAATGAATCAGCAAATTCGTATAGATGGGTTTTACATCAAACAAAGCAAGCAACAGGTGGTTGTGTCCCTACTATTATTATGACTGACACTGATTCAGCTTTGGATCTTGCAATTTATAAAGAGTATGAATTATTATATGCTATGCATTGCATTTTCCATATTTTTTAGAATTTTCCTCAAAATCTTGAAGCTAAGTTGGATTAAAAATATTATAAATTTGTTAATGATTTTTATGCAGCATGAAACTCACTTGTTCTAGAAGTTTTTGAATTTAAGTGAGCAAAGTTAATTGTGAAAAATAATGAGCCTAGAGTAGTAAAGTATCTACAAACATTATATTTTTTAAAAAAAGTGTAAGTGTATGCATATATGATAAAGGTCTTTACTGCTGGTATACAAACAGCATTTTGTGTTGAAAGTTATAATACACAAGTCAAAAAACTGATTTTGAACTCGAATATTCGCCTTCTTGAACTTGCTGAAGTTCTCGAAGCAAGTATAAATAAAAAAAATAAAAAGCCAAAATATGTTTATTAAAAAACTCAAATACTATTAACGTTATCCATCACCACATTACAACAAGCATTGTTTTCAAAACTTGATAAGGCTTTATGTTATTTTATTACACCAAGATGTTAAAAATTCAATGTGCTGAAATCAAAAGTTGTTTAAATTATTATACATCTTCTATTACAAAAAATGAAATGCTTAAATATCAAGAGATATGTATTATAGAGCACTGCAAAGTGAATACCTAGAAGTGAATATTTGAGTTTTTACAGTGACAGATCTAACCTCTAAAAATTATAATATTAAGTTTGCTGCAATAAAAACTTAAATTTTCATCTCCAGGGTTTTATTTTTGCAATATTTATATTGTTTTTAAAGATAATATTAAAATAATACTATATTTACAGAATTTTATTATTTAAGCATAAATCAAATAACAACTTTTTTGTTGAAGATGATAAAGAAATTATGCAAATTTCTATAAACTACATATTGGAAAATATAGATATTAACAAAATAAAGAAAATCTGGGATATTCATATAATTATAGCCTCAAGCAGAGTTGGCAATGGACTATGATGGGTTCTGAGTAAATTGTCAATAGATATTGTCCATTGGCCTAATAGACATAGTTCATTGATATTTGCTAAGCCACATTTTGGTCTATTGGCCAATCTAGGCCTCAAGATCCTGTTATTTTGTTATTCTTCTTTCTGACAAAACCTACATATGCTAATGTTTAGATCTTGTAAATCGTGAGGTGGTTTGCATTTCTTTTTTCAGGTAATGTTATGTAGTTATGTAGCTACTTTCTATATTATGTATATTTATAGAAGGTAGTACAAAGATATTTATAGTAATTTAAGAAATGAATTTTATTATATTGCTACACAGTTTAATAAGAGTTATTTTCAAAATCAACTTACAGAATTAGTTAAATATAATATAAATAGATTATTTACACCTACGGCTAATCTTTGAAATAAAAGAAAGGAAAATATTAATGAATGAAAAATGTATAGAAAATTGTGAAAAATTATACAAAATATTACACAGAAGGCAGTCCAATTACATAGACAAGGTATTATTAAAAAACTACAGAACCTATTAACTAAAATACAGGAGAATGAGTCAGTAAATATGTAGTTTAGCTAATGATGATAACAAAAAAACATACTGTAATAGTGACAATAACTTATATGATAATGAAAAAACACACTATAGTAGTAACAATAACTTATATAATAATATGAAATACAATAAAAATAATCCATTGGTTGTTATATCTCTTCAAAACCCAAAAAGACATAAGGCAAAAGGACATTTCAAAAGTTCTAAGCAAATTAAATACTCAGAAGAATTAAAGCTGACTAAGCATCAAAATCAGTATAGAAATTGTGGTGAATACGAGTATTATAAATCTAGATGTTCAAAAAAGTAGTTAGATAGAGTATATCTTTTCTCATAATTACTTTTGTAATAATTTTTCAATAAAATATTTGCAAAGAGCAGATTAAGATGACATACTAGAACTATATTAATTAATATGAAGTTATGATTTCAATATGTTAGAATAGATTACTTTAATGATTATTCAGTAAAATTTGTTATTAGACCTTTATTAATCAAGGTATCTAAGATAGACTATTTAAGATTATAGCTATTTACTATACTCTTTATATTATTCATATTAATTGGGTCAACAAATTATCTGACATTTGCATTAGTTTTGTTAAGTATAAAGATCTTTTTTAATCAATGTATTTATTTAAACTCATAGTATTACTATTATTAAATTTTTTTGAATTTAGTTAATTAGGCTATTGAAGATCAAAGCATCTATTTTTGATAAGCATGATTTTAATTGATATATTCAAGAAAGGTTATTCAAGCTCAAGACCTATTAAATTTTATTTTTTATATTAATTTAGTGTTCTAAATTGATATTTAATTAATTGGTTAATCTAAGTAGACAACTAATCGATTGTTAATGATTAATTGATTAACTAAATAATTGATTAGTCAGTTAATTGACTAATTAATTGCTATATATACAATTACAAACTAATCAATTAATCAATTAATTTAATTAATTCATTTAATTAACTAATCGATTAATTGACTATAACTGATTTTTAAAATTTTTTTTGGCCAACTAATCTTTGGTCTGATTTGTAACTCTTTGTTAATTTAGTAATGAGTTATTAACAAAGAAAAACTATCAAGATTATAGTATTTATCATTTTAATTTCATCTTTGCTATTCAATTTTATTTTATATTATTCATATGATAAGCTATCATCATTACCTCTAATTTCATTTTATAAAAGCTCACAGTATCTTGTTATTTGGAATAAATTGTTCAAGAATAAAATATGATTTCTCTAATTTTATCTCATTCATGTTTATTTTGTAGATATGTAAAAATCTTTATATATTTTAAGGCTATTTAAACTTATAATCTCTTTTCAGTTTTATCTTATACATATTTTGGTCAGTTTTAATACTTCAATAATAATTATATCTGAATATAATAATATCATACTTTCTATATAATATAATACTAAACAGAGATTTTGAATTTCTTTTATTAGTACTTTAAACAGTATTGTTTTAATCAGAGTTACTTGTATTGTTAATCAATATAGGATTATAGCATTGATTATTATCTCTATTTTTATCTTATTTGCATTAATTTGGTTGGTAAGGATATAAAAATCTTTATTTAATGACTTTTAAGATATATTATTTAAGCTTGTAGTATTACTATTACCTTTTGCTTAATTTTTTTCAAATATAGTTAATAAGTTCTTAATTAATATATTTAAGATAGACTATTCAAGATCAAAGCATTTATTATCTTTATTTTAGTTATAATATATATAATTTCTCAAAAGCTATTTTCTCTACTTGACACCACACAGAATAACAATATGCTAAATATATAATACTTGCAACTAATCAAGTGCTAACCCTAACTCTATGTGATATCAGGTAAGTGGTTTGTAGAGAAATAACTTTTGAGAAATTGAGTGACAATTTGGTTGGTAAGTATGAAGAAATTGTAGATAAGTTATTTACAATATACTTATTTTTACTGAGTAAAGAGATTTATTTATGGCTAATATATTCTGAATATTTTAATAAGTATCTTAATGTTAGTTTAGATATTCATTTTTATTATTTTTATTTTTTTTTTAATATTTGTCCTTTTTTTTTTTTTTGGTATTAAGGTGAGGTCTTGCTCATATCTTTATTGGTTAATCTATATAAGTAATTACATAATATAAGAACTTAATTTGTACAAAAACAAATAAATATAAATTATATGCAAGAGTAAGAG